ATGGAAGCTGTTCTGCCACCATTCTGCTCAACCATTTGTGATAAATAATAATTGCCTCCTGTTTACCAGCTTACAAGGATATTTTTATCTCCTGGGAGTTAGGGATTGTCAGCTGTGATGGCAGCTAGGCCAAGCCTAATGAATGAGGCCTCATTTCCATGTACTCTTAGTCCTTCAGGGCCATGGATATGTAGGCAGTAATAGCATGCATGTTACTGATGTTTGTAGGCCTATCCATGGTGCTGACTATTCTTTTAAAATCCACTCAGGTAAAGGAGAGCATTGAGGTTTGTAGAAATGAATAAGGATACAGTAAACTGACATTTCCATGGCTTCTTAATACTTATAATGCATGCTGCTAAATATGTCTGTGCATCAGCAAATCAGCTACCCTGGGTATTAATTTATGTTTACGTAGAATTTAAGCTTCCATATGAGTCCTTTGCTGCAGAAGGAATGGATTGTATAATCAGACAGAGCACTAGAACCAACAGGGGAACTTCAACTTCATAATGTGCTTCTGAGACTACCAAAGGTGACTGAACTGATCAGTGTCTAAATATACAGTCTCTGAATAAACATTTGATCATTTGTTCAAGTCCATGATTAGATGTCTTTCTTCATCAGGTATGTTATTTAAAACAACTCCCAGCTTACTCAGATTGTCTTGTTAGTTTCAGGCTGAATATTTACACTTCTAGGCTTCAGGAGTACAAGCATACTCCATTGTGCACAGCATAGAAATTCAGAAAATGGATTAAAATTATCCTTTAGGTCTTTTCCTTCTCATATCCTTCTTCTTCCCATTCCCTGACTGTACTCGCTCTCCCTCCCAATCCTTTTTCCTCTCCCTCTCCCTCTCTCTCTTTCTCCTCTCTTCCTTCTCCCTTCCTCCTTTTCTCTACCTGTTTCTGTCTCCCTTTACTTTCTCTTTCTCTTTGCATTTCTTTCTCTCTCTTAAATGGAAATTATTTCTATTCAATTTTATCAATAATAAAATTGAGCACTCCCTAAATAGCCTAACCAATTGTAGACTACACAGAGTGATTATCAGTGCTGTATATTTAAGATGTCAAGAGACAAATTAATTGTAAAAGGATTTTTTTCTCTGCCAAAGTGCAGAAAACTGGGTGGAGGGAGGAGGTGTAGAAGGGAGACAACCAGCTGATGTCACTTTCTAAAGAGGAACTGGCAGATAGAGAAGAGTAGCAGTTTCATAGCTGAAAATCCTGTTCCACTCTTTGTTGCTGGCCTATGGATTTCCTTTACAGCAAAATGCAAGAATGTAGGTAAAAATATATTGTGGAAAAAAAAGATAAAATTAGAGCCATTGAAAAAAGAATGGAAATTTTTAGCTCTTATTTTCTATTTGTTGGATTTTTCTCCTTTTATTTTCAGGAAACACAGTAAAAGAGATTTTGCTTATAGTTCATTTGCCGACCACTTAAAATTATAGAAATGTTAAGACCAATTCAATTCATCAAGTATTTATTGGACACCTATTATGTACAAGGCACTGTGCTAGGTGTAGTGGCTACTGGACAAAAACCTATCAGTCCTACTCCTCCAAAGGCTGTAAGGGAAGAGTAGGAATAGTTTCATATTTTTGTATTTGTATCTCAACGCCTATCCCAAGGCCTGGCATGTAGTAGGAGCTTAATGAATGCCTCTTGATTCACTGATCTTAATGCAGTCTAAGATTGCATTAGCTTTCTTGGGTGTTATATCTCTTTGTTGACTCATATTGAATTTGGAGTCCTCTAAAAGCTCCAGATTATTTTTTAGGATTAATGTCTTTCTAGACACTTTCCCATACTATTATACTTGCAAAGTTGGTTTCTTTTTTCCAAGTGGAAACATTTAAATTTGTCTTTATTAGATTTGCCTCAGCTTGGGAACTATGACAGCCAGCCACTAATCAGATTTAGTCTTGAACTATTTGTCTGAATTGGTATTTTCTAAACCCTGTAGCCTTTGTAGAGAAAATAGAGCAGAGCCAAAGAAAAAGAGAGAAGCAGTACAGAAAAGTGGATAGAACACTGATCTCAGAGTCTGGAAAAGCTGGGTTTAAGACCTGTCTCTGACACAGATTATTTGTGTGACCCTTTGTAAGTCAGGGTCAGTTAACCTCTAAATGGCCCTAGACAACTCTGTAAAGCTGTAAATTGAAGAGCAGGCTGTAATCTGCTGCTTCTCACTGAGAGCTCTCTACACCAGTGGTGTCAAACTCAAAAAGAAATTAGGGAGGGTCACTAAACCACATATAAAGATCCCTGTAACAGTGGATTGACTTAGAAAACCACACACTAATATTATCTGTGTTGTACTGTATTTTTATTTATTTTGTTAAATATGTCCCAATTTCATTTTAATCCGGTTGGGAAGGAATGTTGCGGGGGGGGGGGTTCTCCTGTCTGACACATCTGCTCTGCACCAGTGAAATCAAAGAGAAAAAGGAAGGAAAGAAGTTAAAATGGAATAAGACCTAGGGCTTGGTATATGAGCTTAAGAGAAATAATGACATTGGCACAAAGGTTTCTGTTGTTATTATTCATCCCTAATTCTCAAAGAAGACCAATGACATCATAAGGTAATGTCTTGACTTGCCCATGAATTGGATTCAAGTGAGGCAGAGCTGAGCAAAGTCTTCTGCTTCACCTGACAGATTTGATTAACTGACTTCAAGCTCAAAATATATCATTAGGGAGACAACAGTTCTATTTTTTTTTTAATGAATGAAATCTTAGGTGACATTAATAGAAATACTGTATCAAGATGGAGAGAAATAAGTCCTCTTACACTCTCTTATGGCCAGACAAAATCTGAAATCGTTTATTTAGTTTTGGGTAGCACATATGGAAGAGGAAGACTTGAATGAGGAAGAGCATGCCAGAGGCACATTATTTGAAGGAACTTTGTAAGCACAGCCTGAAGAAGAGTTAGGCAGCATGAAATCTGTCTTCACTTGTATACCATCTAGCGGAAGTGAACTACTGTTTACTTTGCTTAACCCTAGAAGGGACAAATTAGGTCCAATGAATAGAAGTTGCATAGAAGTGGATTTTGACTTTGTATAAGTAAGAACTTCATAACAATTGGTACTCACTGAAAATGAAAATGGGCTCTATTGTATGGTAGTTAAGCAGAGATGAGATGGCCATGTTGTAGAGAGAATGTATGTTTAGGGAAAAGATTTGACTAGATCACCTCTCTTCTAACTGTTTTTTTTATTCTGTAAAACTGATATTTATATCTTATACAATGTTTTTTATTCTCCTGAGATGTTTAATGCATTATATATTTTCATGATTCAGGCATGAGCAGTGATATATTTTGGTGATGACTTTGGTATGGTAAATTTAAAGATAAATCTAACTCAACTCAGGTTCTTCCTACTATAGTCTTTTCCTGGTACCCCTAGCTGTTAGTGGTAGGAAGACAGATATGTGGTTTGTGTGATACTGAGTTTGCACCAGAGGGTTATTCTTCAGAACATAAAAGAACCCATCTAGGAGTTGGACATGATCTACAACAAATAGAAGGGTTTCTTAAAGCTTTTCTCCAAGGCTTCATTTCTTCATTTGTAGAATAACATTTGCACTATCTACTACTTCACAGGACTGGTTTTAGAAAAGCTTTTTGTAAGCCTTAAAGATATAGTTTTAAAGATATAAATATACAGATATACATATATGTATGTATGTGAGTGCATATCCACACACATATATATACGTGCATCTATATACAAATATATTTATATATACATGCATCTATGTATAAATATATGCAGTTATTATTTATGATTATTATCAAATAGCCATTTTGAGTAGCATGTAAACTTCTTTACTATTCCCAGCATAAAATTTGTCAGACGAGGGTCTAAAAGATATTTTTGAGTGATATTTTTCAAATGCTTTGTTTTCAACATTTTAAAACGAACAAACCTTGGGCACTCATAGTAAAACAGTTAGTCAATAAACACTATGCTAAAGGCTGAGGATCAAAGGAGACTAAAGATAGTCCCTGTGCTCAAGGAGCTCATAGTCTAATAGGGTAGAGAGACAACAAGCAAATAAAAATGTGCAGACATGCTATGTACAGGATAGATAGGAAATAATGAAAGGAGGAAGGCACTAGAATTGAGGGGTTGGGAAAGGCTTCATATAGAAGATGGGATTTTAATTTGGATTTGGAGGAAGCTGGGAAAGCCAGTAGGCAGAGACGAGAAGGGAAAGCATTCCAGACATGGAAAACAGTCAGCCTAGAGAGAAGAGAGATGGAGTTTGTTGAACAGCAAAGAAGCCAGTGTCTCTAGATTGAAGATTATGTTGTGGGGAATAAAGTGTAAGAAGACTGGAAATGTAGAAGGGGACTAGGTTATGAAGGGCTTTGAATAACAAAAAGAGCATTTTGTATTTAATCTTGGAGGTGATGGAGAGCCACTGCAGTTTATTGAGTAGGGAGGGAGTAGTAGCAAGTGACACTAGAGCAGAGAGGAAGTGCTATTTCCAAAAAAAAAAATTAATTCCACAAAGAAGACACTTCATCTCTTGGCTCTGGGCATTCTCATCTGTCCCTCATGTCTAAAATGCCCTCCATTCTCCTCTCTGACTACTGACCTCCCTGGCTTCCTTTAATTCTCAACTAAAATCCCACCTCCCCCAGGAAGTATTCCCCAGTCCCTTTTAATTTCAGTCCCTTCCCTATGTCAATTATTTTCCATTTATCCTGTATATATCTGGCTTTGTATACATATGTTTGCATGGTGTCTCCCACATTAGATTATAAGCTTCTTGAGAGCAGAGACCGTTTTTTGCCTCTTTTGTATCCCTAGCACTTAGCAGAGAGCCTGACACAAAGAAGAAGCTTAATGAATTTTTGTTGAATTGAATTGAAAATTCATCAGAGAAAGGCTCCCTGGAAGGTCTGCATGAGCTGTTCAAAGTCTGTGCCCTTCTTTCTTAGTTATTTTGTTGACGTTGCATTTCCATTGTTACCAGGTTATTGAAGAGAGAAGATAGTTTTACCTTCATTCCTCGGTCTCGTGAAGAGCTTCCAGACAACTTTCCAAAGGAAATCCCTGGGATCTGTTATTTCCTGGAGCTCACAACTGGTCCCAAGCAGCCAAAGCCCTCAATCTCTTCAACTCGAATGAAGAAGGTTTCCTACAACATTGGCACCATGTTCCTTCGGGAGACAAGCCTATGAGACCTGCTGCAGATCAAAGACTCATCACAAAAGCACAAGCCCAGAACCTGGGTCCGGACAGAAAAGTGAAGAGAGACTCTTTCTCCTTCACTGCATCATCCTGGGCAAGCAGTACAATCTCTTTGTAATGTCATGCAATAATACTAGAATAAGGTGGGTGATGGCTGTCAGTAAACAACCTAGAGGGAAAGATAATTAAGGGAACCAAATGCATCCATCCCTAAAAGAGGTATTATTGGCCACTTTTAAAAAGTAAATTATTATCATGGTCCCTTTATCACACAAAACCTAAAAATAAACTTGGGTTTTCCATTTGATATCCATGAAGTGACATGACCTTAAGAATTTTACCTACTGAAAAGCAAAGGAGAGCCAGTGTGGAGTCTGCATTCTGAGATTCAAAGTGTTATTCAGTAAAGGAAATTTTACAATTTTTTGGAAGAGACATTTCGTAAAAATACCATAGGGGTTTGGTCGACTTCCCAGGCAGAGAAATTGTACCTGAGTTAAATATTTTAGGGATATTACCTATTTTTATACATCTTTCTCTTTCTGGATAATAGCATTTCACATAACAGTTGAACCAGCTTTTCAGAGTATCCTATTGTATATTTGGTGTATTATGTAACTTTAACCTAATAATCTAATGTGGTTACACTTATTTAGAAGGATTGGTATCGGATAGAGATTACTTCAGTGGGGATTTCATATGTGCAGAAAACCCTATCCGTCTGCCTAGTGGATATGTCTTTCAAATGCAATTATTGTAATATGGAATTTAAAAAAGTAAAATTACTAGAAGCAGATTAAACAATAAATAAGTAAAGAGAAAATTTTCCCCTTCTCATTGAAAATTTGCAGTAATTTGCAAAAGAAAATTACTTTGGTCCCTCTAATGATTTTCATATGGGCATTTTAAAATGTAGGTAGTTATTGGACTTGCAAAATTATGCCCTAGAATATAATACCTATTAAGTACCTACTGTGCACAGAGCGCTGCAGACACATAATGCACTAAATGCCATTATCTCTGTATTTCCCTCCTTCCTGAGTCAATGTGAATGATGATAGATTGTTGCCTCATAAGAATGGAACAGGGTTACTTACTGCTCTTGTAAGCTACTTCCAGTGAATGTGGGCAGTAGTGAGAAGTTCAAAATTTTGCCAAGACTAACAATATTTAATTGGTTTATTTTCTAGCATAACATAAAATAGACAAAAATTCTTATTGTATGGTTTGGAGAAATAAAAAAAAAGTTCACCTGCAGTTTGATTGATGCTATTTTTAACAATAGGTGACTCCCTATCATGGAGGTTTGAATAGGTATGCTATATTCAGACCTGGTGAATACCCCTGCCCACAATCACTGTAGTAGCCTGCAGGCTTTTATTGCATGATTCCCTAAAATTGAACCCTCTTCCCCCTGACCAATACTGCATGAAAAATGTAATCTACATCATTACTGACCTACCCTGAAGTCAGGGGCACTGTGTGTTGCAAGAATAGTCAGAGTTCGGAATCAAGATAAATACAAAATGCCTATTCTAATTAATAATCTGGAATCATTTGTTCTGTAGCTCTAATGTGATGTGTGGCTATTTCCTTACTCCATGGTTACTCATTGCTCTCCCTCCCCTGGCAGTGATTAGTAGTGAAGGTATATTGCATTCTATGGTGGGGTTTTTTTTTCTTTTCTCTAGATCAGAGATTTGAGTTACAGTGTGATTTGGTCACTGTTTTAGCACAGCTAAGGGTTAGAGATTTACAACTGTCTTTCTACAAACATAATTTCCTAATTATAAGGCTTAATAAATGCTCTAAAAGTTGTCTGAACTATGTGGATGGGAACCCATTTAGATATACAAAGTATGTCTTGTAATCATTATTGTTAATATAATTGTTGGGCTCTAATCTCACCCTCAAGTAAGGCACTGGCAAAGCACTCTTTTAGATGGAGAGGAAAGACTATATTTCCTGCCCCTCTCTGTGTTCTCCACTTCCTCTAGGACAATGGCTTTGCCTTCCACCATCTAAAGGAGAGAATTCCAAGGCCATCATGTCAGGGCTCTTCCCTACTTGATTCCTAGGGTGCTGCAGACCTATTCTGGGCCTTGTTGGCCTAGGTAGACATAGAGCTCAGCAGCCCCCTTCCCAAGGCAGGAGATAGCTTGGCTACCTGATAGCATATGGGCACTTAAAGATGGGACATGGCTCATTATAGGATCATGCTAGTTCTTATATTCATGTACGGAAACTAGATTTTGCTGAATGACTTCTCATGTATTGGTGAACATTTTCATTTACGAATAAGGATGAATATATAATCATATATGTATATGCATACATATATTCATCACATAAATTCATATGAATTATATATATGTTTATATATTTTCATAAGTGTATAACCATATGGCTGCAAAAAGCTTCCAGCATCCATTCAGTCCATTCCTTTGTCTTTTGTGGTAGATTTTCCCTAAACATCCAAATAGAGAAATGGCCATAATAAGTTTAAGGAGCAATAGGAAAGAAGATTCCAAACTCTCCTGGATAATAACCATTATCTAATAAGGAGAATCAGATCAAGTGAGAAAAGAGTCGTGTACAATGCAAACTCTCATTTTATCAGAATCAACTGATTTCAACATTGGTTTATGCAATTCACTTACAGAAAAAATGGAAATCTATATTACTATATTCATTTATATTTCTGTCACAGATGTCAAATTAAAGAATTTAGCATAAATCCAGTTATATGTGTGTATACATATAGCTATGTCACACTCAGGAGATGAACTTATATTTTTTTTTCATGCAGTAAGATCTAATCTTGTTCTATGGAGCTCTGTTTTGAAGTAGTGATTCTCTTTGTATCCTTGTTGCCTTTGTCTTGTTATTGATTATTTGAGTTCCTGTGTTTCTATCTGTCTTTGCAAGGTGCTGTAAGTAATACCTATGAATTCCATTCATAGCCATGGAATTAAGATACTGTGAAAAGCAGTATATTTCCATTTTAGAGCAATTAAGCTTAAAGTTTCCACATTTTTCTAATTAGGAATACGAATTGAAAAAGCTGGGTAAGCATTTTGATGACTAACTCTTTGCTTCTCTACATCAAGAATTTGCTCAACTGATGTCTGCACTGACATTTCACGTTTGAAAAAAGATTTTTCACCCAGTATACCAGCATCAGAGGACAGCAGACTGAAATGACACTGACTGCCCCTCATAGAAATCTGGTGGTACTATAGTGCAGAATAATTTTAAAATCACTTGTTATATATTAAGCTTTATTTGTAAAAAAAAATTATGCTTTCAGAAGACAGTCAGTATCTATAGTGTGGCTTTCCTAATGTACTCACAAGGAGATAATTTAGAGTGACTTGATAATCATAGCCCTCAGTGCAAGAAATTGATGTCAATATCACCATGGAGATAATACCAATGTTGGGAAATATACTCAAATGGAGATACAACAATTATTTAGCAAAATCATAAGCCACCAAAATGTGTAAAGAACATACAGAGCATGCTCAGTATAAAACTGAATAGCCTTAATCAAAATCATTGGTAGTGATTCAAAATATGAGGTTCTGTGCTTTTGTCCATGGAAACTAGATAATTAAAGATGGTTCCCTTAGAAACAAATTTACCTAGGTCAGTTGTGGGTGAAGATGTTGGGAGAAACAAAACTTGTGGTAGATTTTCCAGTATTGTCACTCACCTCTTGTACTTAAATCCTATTTGTTACAAATCAGTTATACCTGAAATTTTACATTGTTTTCACTATATGTGGGACTCTGTGATCTGTGAGCTAGCTTTGATTTGGAGAGTAAATCTAGTACCAGGCACTTAATGGAGAGCCTGGAAACTCATTATTTTAAATATATGAGGCTCATGGCTTGACCAGCAATAAGGTATCTGAAATTCAATGGTTTTTTAGGGGGACATGTTGGCATCTAGTAAACAATGCCTTCTTGAATGAAGCCACAATTTTTATTTTAAAATTGATCATAAGAATATCTAGTACCACATCTTTATAGATTGCACATGGTAATTTATGCTAAATTGTGAAATACAAAGAGGCAACTCAAGTTCATTAGTATTATAATGGAAAAAAAATCTATTCACTGTCATCTAGCTGCCTAATACTATTTAGGGCAGGTGCTGTGGGTATTTAGGGTACCAATTAGAAATATTCCAGATTTGTGCCAGAGGGCGCAATACCAGCCTGCCTTGGTGTGCACTTTTGACCAGAATTTAGCCTCTCCTTTATACTTTATTCCTCCACTTTCACCCCATGTTAATATCACATATTTCCATCATTATTTCTCATTTTCCATGTCTCCCCCCTGGTAAACAGGGCCTAGATTGAGACTTACTAAAAATATGAAGCTTCACTGTCCATCATTGTTGCATTACTGGCATATAGCGTATCTGTCTCATTCTATATTTTTAGGCCTGTAATGCCACATTAAAACAGTTCAGAGGATAGAGAAGAAAACATTTATCATGGTGTCACTCTATAATTATTAATTATATTAACATATTTCTTAAGTATTCCATTGTCATGTATATCATGTATGTATTCATACGTAATGCACATATATACATATATGTCTTCAGTTTTCACTTCATTAACTCCTTCCTTGGAGTTAATTTCATATTTCCTTGGAATTCATTTCATATTACTTCATTGAATTTTCCCTTAGAGTTACTCTTGATTCAGAACAGGTTCAGAAGTACCAACGATGTAGCTTTGGATTTCAACAACAAATCCAAATCACAAATGCAGACGGTAGACTGCTACTTGTATATTTACATCAGCAGACTATTAAAAATGTGCATCTAGTGCCCACTGGGTACTTAGTATTGCCTAGGACAAATATTTTAAGTTTTTAGAGCTGGGATCAGAAACTATAAAATTCTAATTTGCTCCTGAATGTGTTGTGCTACTGATGAAATAACCATTCATGTGACATACTGAACACCCACTTGGGAACATGTACTGCACAGTATATTAAAGACCATTTGATTTGGATTACTGTAAAATATATACATTAGAATGGCATTGTGTTATCAGATATTAAAATTATTTTCTGACACAAAGAAGCAACTTCATGTGGCATGGAACATGTTAACCTCTATTGTCCACTTTAAAGAATAACTACATCCATATGAATATACTATTGTTTAGTAAGTAAAATGTATGTGGGTAGCTTTAAGATGTGTTTTTGCAGCTTTATTTAAAAAAAACTGCAACATCATATGTAACACTAATATAAACTTGGATATGTATCATGGGCACAGAGTTATTTTATTTTACTAGATATAATTAACTATTGGTAGTATTCTAATCCAAGATGTAGCAGAATTGTAGCCAAAACTACCTTGTCATAATGTTTTTATATGAACCTATTATGTCCTAGGTCTCACTTTAAAAAATTTAAGAATTTTTTTTAAAGATAAATGGATGGTAGTTTACTGACACTCCATTTGGCTTGGAAGGGTAAAGGAGGTATAAGAAGATTGATATGACCATTCTGTTAGATTTAGTTTATATCTACCTTAAACTTTTGGTAAACAGAAAGTAGTCTTGTACACAGCAATCTATGCAAAATGGAAGGTGTCAGTCAAGTGCCTCATGAGAACTCACATCCATATAAGATGAATCATCTGGTTGACAGTCAGGAAGAACACTCATGGATTAGCTATGAAATTTTGAAAACTGAGGGAATTACTAGGGATGAAGTAAACACTGACGATGAATAAGAAATGTATCATTCCAACTGGAGTTATTTCCCGAAAGTATTTCACTTCAAGCTTCAGGGATCCTCATATAATGGCTTCCATGAGAATTAAAATCACTTCAATTTAAAATTCAGGGATTGTACTTTCTAAGCATGATTCTTCATGCTTAATAAGAGTTTTCACTGACACACAAGAGAAGACTATTGCTCGCTAATATCAGTTATTAGGTTTAATAAGTAAAGGATTATATATTTAGTTAATGCTAAATGCATGTAGTATAGAACAAGTTTTACTGAACCACAGCAAAGAGGGAAAGACCTTTGAACTTATGGATATTGTTGAATTTGCAGTGAGAAGTTTCATAAGGAATGCTTTGACACTAATGAATGGAAAGTCACCAAGTTAGCAATGGTTGTCACTATGTGTTTTTAATATTAAATTGTACATATGTCTAAAATTTATTCCCAAGCAATACCTTCTCATGCTAACTCTTAAAGCAATAACTTAAGCCATGGTGATGATAATAAATGCAACATACTTCTGTGTGAGGTAATCACTAAAATTCTGGGAAAATGCCGAACCTACGTACAAAAGCAATAACAAAGCATGATGTGGGTTATTTAAAGATCTCTCTTCCACAGTCTCCAGGGTGCCATAATAACTGAGGTGCAGAGCACAGCAGATGAGTTGTTTAATCTATCTCAGATGTCATGGATTGGTGCAGAGCACAGCAGATGAGTTGTTTAATCTATCTCAGATGTCATGGATTTGCCAATCTGCTACTAAGTAATTATTGTCCCTTGCATAATTATTCCTGGGATCTAAATAACAAACGTATGGAGAATCTCTCTCATACCATGATTTCTGTCTGATTTTTTTCTGTGAAGTTTTAGAGCCATGTTGAAGATGAATAGCAGAATAGGAACAGTTGTACAATGGATACTCTGATGAGACAGTAGATTTTGTAGGAACAAGGAGGAGTCCTTGTAGTGACAGCTAACTAAAATGTTAGTCCATGATGAACAAGCTCTTGGGAGAGGAAAGGCTGAATGGGAAAGGATCATTGAAAACAAACAAACAAACAAACAACAAACTTGTTTTATCAGCAAAGAGAATCCTCTTAGGGGAAGCTGATCTGTAGCTCCTTTATAGCTTAAAGTGTTGGAGAGTTGCCTGGGGCACTGAGAGGTTTTCACTAGCTTAAGGTCACACAGCCTGTGTGTTGCAGAGACCAGACTTCAACTCAGGTTTTCCTGACTTCAAGGCCAATTCCCCATCTGTGTCACTGCTGTGAATCTTTAAGGGGTCATGTTATTATTGCTATCAATTAGAGATTGAGAAGTATCTACGTAGGGGTGATCATTGTCCTTAGAAGGTAAATTTTTGAAAGTCTTGCTGGATGATCAACTAACAGATAAAAACTTATATACAGAAATAGTTACCTATCTAAGCAGTTATGAAGAAGAGCGAGGAAGTAGGGACATCTCAAGTGACTACTCTGGTATTTTGAATGTTGTTACTTAATATTTATTTTTAATGCAGTCAGGGTAGTGTGCCAAAGATAACTAGAGCTATGAAAGATCATGATCCTTGCATAATTTAGAACCCAAGGTTAGAAGGTGACTTGGGTATCTAAGCTGTCTTTTAGGGGAAAAAAAAGTAGAAATTTGTCTTCATTATACATGACTCTGGGCAGGAGGGAAAGAACGGAGGCTTGAGCCTTTTTAAAAAACTAAATATGAAATTTGTTTGGCCCAATTAGATAGTATCTCCTCCACCCTATCATTTACCTGGGAAAAGAAGAGAATATGAACCAGTGCAAGTCCTTGTACTGTCAAGAAATAGGGCATAAGAATTGTAATCTGTCACCATTCCTAGGAAAATAACCAGCCTAACATCCTCTTGCCTGGGAAGGAAAAACTCATCACCCAACAAATGAAATTGGATTCTTGTTTCACTCAAGAAATTCTGCAAGATCCTCTGCCCCCCCACACCTTTTAAATAAAAAGTCATTGTATGCTTATCGACTACTATATATGTTGTCAGTATTTAATAGATAATAAAGACACCAAATTAATGTCCCTTCAATGACATCAGTTTTGCCTTTCTCAGATAACCTAGTTACTTGTATATCAGATACTAATTTTCAGTATTTGCTTAAGTCATTGTGACTAATTAACTGACAACCTAAAAGGAAGAAAAGTTAATTGTGAAGCAATTTAGGATTGTAAAGCAATTTGATTTTGCTGGGGGGGGGAGAGGAGGAATTTGTGTTGATTCGATGATATGATAGATAGTACAAGAGAGACTGAAAGTGATTCTACCTTAGGGTAATGTCAGCTATGAGACGAGCTGCTTCCTGGTACCTCTGCTTTTCCTGATGACATTCCTCTTGTGTTATTATCTAGCTACAATTCCACACTCGATAGATGCATGAAATAGGGAAAGACATTGGGAAGTGGAGGGCAGAATGATGCAGGCGACTATGAATAACAATGACTAAGGAAGGCTATTGCATTTTTTCCTTCCTTTTAGAAGATGTGGGGAGTATTAGGAGAGAACTACCGGTTTAATGAAACCCAAATGGTTTTCCTAGCCTATTGTTCTCTCCTGTTTCAAAGACACAAACTTCACAAGCCCCACATCTTTCTCAGGAGGCAGTGCCAACCTCTTGGCAGCTGCACATTTCATCAGGACTGGGATTAGTTGTTCATGGAGCTCTAAATAGAAACTCTGTGAATGTGGCAGATAAGGCTAGACTCAGTTACAGTGGTGAAAGTAAATCAGTGTCAGAACATCTGGAACGATGGGACAAAGAAAGCTGAATGCTGAACCTAGCCACACGCCTCAGGAGAATGAAGTAAAATTAGCACGGGCCAGTGGAGTACTGAAAGGAAAGTGATCTTTAAAAACAGTCTTTCCCTATCTTCACATGCCTGAGCTTCTTATTCAAGCAGCTTAAACAGTTTGTATTTATGTGGTACGGGATTTTAAAAGGTTGATCACTTGCATTTAGATTTTTCCAGATACCTAATTCTCATTTCAAAGAAATCCTGTAAGTAAATGCTTCAGTATATTCAGTGTCCTTTTAGCCTGTTAATATTCTGGTCAACTATAAAAGATTCTAATTTTCTTTTTCTTTCTAATTTGCTTTTTGTTTTAACAAATTCTATGAATTGACTTGGAAAATTTATGTCAAGTATGATGAAACAATTTTTTAGCACATTAAATTTATTTATGTGTGAGTGTGTGTATATGTATGTGGAGGGGCTTCCACCTGCCTCCCTAATATTGTTCTCCATGCGCCCATGGATAGGCTTCTTATACAATCCTAAAGAGAGCAGAAGTTTAGTTCATGAGATCATAGATTAAGTGCTAGAAAGCTCCTGAGATATAATTTGATACAACCCCCTCAATTTACAGTTGAGGAAACAGAAAAATAAGTGATATTACCAAGATCACACAGGTAGTAGGTGGCAAAGCCAGGATCCAAAGCCAGGTCCTTCGATTGCAAGTCCAAAGTATGTTCAGTTGTGCTGTATTTCTTATGTGTGGTACATGGATATGCATCTTGAGCACCTAATTCTCTGAACTCAGAATAAATGAAAGAATGAATATGAATAAAAAAAATTTAACTATGTAAAATTGAAAAAAAATTCAATGGGGTTGTGGATGAGGAGAGAAAAATGTTTTCTATTAGTTTGAAGTTATTTTTAAAGGAAAATTGATAAGGAGAGACTGCTGGGAAGAAATAAGAAATGACAGCGCCAGGCAATCACTGATGGTTGAAATTCCTAGATATTTGGTCGTTTGACTTGTCTGAAATCACACAGATAGGAAATGGATCGGAATCTACATTCTCTTTAGTGCACTAGTATAGCTCCTATTCAATGGTAATATTCTGGTGTGTGGTAGGAAGTGGCTCTTTACTCTGCATATATTCATGTGGATTTGTAAAGGTTCATTCAGATCAATAAAACACAAAGAAGTCAGATGTAATCAAATGAATATTAGGCTTCCACATGCCTCCCAAATATTGTCCTCAACTTGGGCCTATGGTGTTAACATCCTAGTTAGTTAATGGAAATGTAATATAAGTAATTGAAGACAAAATAACCTTTAAAAATCAAAGTAGATTTGTTGGTTTTATGGTTTATTGTCCTACAAATTTCGTAAGTGAAGTCCATACGGTAGTTTAGTTTTTTAAAGCACCTTGTATACCTTATCTCTTTTGACCCTCACAACAACCCTCTGAGGCAGATACTACAGGTATTCTTCCATTTTGCAAATGAGAACCTGAGGCTTAAGAAGGTTATGGGCCTTGCCTAGGATTATGGAGCTAGGAGTACTCCTTCCATTATCTCATGCTATTTTTCATAGCATTCCAAGAAGCCTCTACTAGTTATTTCAAGATGACTCAGGCTAGGAAAGAAAGAAAGAAAGAAAGAAAGAGAGAGAGAGAGAGAGAGAGAGAGAGAGAGAGAGAGAGAGAGAGAGAGAAAGAAAGAAAGAAAGAAAGAAAGAAAGAAAGAAAGAAAGAAAGAAAGAAAGAAAGGAAAGAAGAAAGAAAAGAAAGAAAAGAGGGAGGAAAAGAAGGGAGGGAGAAGGAAGGAAGAAAAGAAGAAAGGAAAAAAGAAAGAAAAAAGAGAGAGGAAGAAGGGAGGGAGAGATGGAGGAAGGAAGGAAAGAAAGAGAAAAAAGGTAGAAGCAAGGAAAAATGGAAGAAAAGAGGGAAGGAAAGAAAGGAGAGAGGGAGGAAGGAACAGAAAATGAATAAAAAAGGGAGAAAAAAGAGAAGAAAGGGAGGGAGAGATGGAGGAGGGAAGGAAAGAGAAAGAAAAAAAGGCTGGTGGAAGGAAGGAAGGAGGGAGGGAAGGAAGGAAGAAATGAATGAATGGAGCAAGGAAGGAAAAAGAACAAAAAAGAAAGAGAGAAGGAAGGGGAGGAGAGATGAAGGAAGGGAGGAAGGAAGGAATAATTTATCATTGTTATAAAGTAGGAAAATACATTAGGTCCAAGATGTATTGTTCTCAAACAGCCAACTTCACTCCTAATGCTGCCTCTACCACCAGCACTACCGCCCCCCCCCCAAACTTTCAAAGCTTATCAAAATGTGGGATTTCTTGAGCCCTTCTCAGTAAACACTGTGGTCATTTGGCATTACTTTTAAGATATTAACTCCTAATCTTGAGATTCATTTTCAGAATTTTTTATCAATTATGCATTTTTTATTGTCTTCCACCAATTGCTGCATTAAAGTAGTTAGGTCTTGCGAGGGTGCAAAACACTGTATCCTGGAGACTGGTTTGCCTTTTATAATGAAGGCAATCCTATAAATCTGTGCTATTATTTAAGCAACGTTCCAGGACTCAAAATAGATAATATTACTATTTTTAATAACACAGAATAATTTCTAAGAAGATTAAACATGTGTGACAGACTTTTTTTAAATTTTCCAATTTGTTTAACAATGGTGTTCAGAAATCTTCACATGAGATGTGGAATTAAATGTTGTAAAATTTCTCATTAGATGAAGTTTGTGTCATTTTTGGAGTAGATTACCTGAACAACATATAAGAGCCTCTGACATCATTCCAGCTAATTGTTGGCTAATGGGAACCTCTATAGGACCATGCCCAAAGAAACCTCCATTTGACTAGGAATACAGCTTTGCTTACCTCCCAGGAGGCATATCTTTGTGGATTCTGACACAAGCTTTAAGCAGAACTTACAGTGTTCTTCACCCATTGGACAATCTAAGTGATCGAATGTTCATTTAAATTAAGGTCTTGAGTAACCTCAGAGGTATAAGTTCAGATGGAGTGTGGGGAAACAACTGCTTTTTTTTTTCTGTTGCAAAAACCAATTTCTCTAATACTAAAAAAGAAGCTGAAAATATTCACATTTCTCTATGTATTTCCTGGTTTATGAGAAGCTACAGCAAATGCTAGCTAAAGTTTTGCATTCTAAGCATTGTCCATCACCTAAAGATGTAATAACTTTGTTGCCTTTTTTTTTGACAGTTAAGGGACAATAACAGAATGTTGGAGCTGGTTGAGACTTTAAGAGATCAGATGATCCAGCCCCTCATTTTACAGATGATAAAAGTGAAGCTCAGAAAGGGTGACTCTCCCAAGGTTACAGAATTAATAACTGCCAGAAACAGGACTTGAACCCAGGTCTTCTGACTCTAATTTTAACACACTTTCTACTATGCCATGTATTATAAACCAGCATATAAACTATTTTCATCATAGATGTGAATGTTTTTCATTGTTCTCTAATATATGTGACAGGCAACAATATTCAATGAAATTTCTATTTAACATATTTTTAAAAGTCAATGGTGTTTCCATCAATACTTTAAAAACTGTAGATATCATTTGCCATGCCATGAGATTGTCACTTTCAAAATTTAATATCTAAGTGAAGATCATTTAGTTTCTTTGAATTTTCTATGCTTTATAATTAAAGACAGCATTCACCTTTGATATGATAGAGTGCAGGACCTTAGCCATAGACAAGTTTAAAAGTGGTAATATATGTAAAGCAGTTTGTAAAACTTAAAGTATTATATAAATGTTAGCTATTATTATTTTTTTCACTACTATTCCTATAGTCCAACATGTATCAGCAGGATTCATGGTGGTCTCACATAGAAAAAATGAAGTGAACAATAGAATCATTGTCTTTAGTCCAGGTTGACTACATGAGAAGAGGTATAGGCCAAGGAAATCTCCAGAGATCTCTATGGTAATAGTCATTATCCATATATGTTCTAACTTACAGCACAAAAGTCCCGCACAGTTGAGCTAATTCCTTCTAAAAACTTTTTTGCCTTAACTCAATATGAGTACAGTACCTTTCCCATAGTATACCTAGTACAACTCTCCAAAGCTCAGGTAACTGAGTTAGCTAGAGAAATTAACTGTCATCTACTCCAACCCCAACCAACACACATGCAACAAAAAATTATTTTGACTCTGAATTACCTGGATAATTCCTGCCAAAAATTCACTTTAATCTGACTCTGATTAATTACTTAAGTTTTCTGCTTTGGGTAGACTTAGCAACAAAGTGCACAAGCAATTGAAAGACAGAATGTCTGTTTCTTGCACACAAATGTATGTCTAGCAGAACAACTGAAATAATTGTCTGAAATATGTTTAATAAGAAAATATTTAATTTAATGAAATCCATAAAAATCTATGCATGCACTTTTTATTTTTAAGAATATGCCCATTAGTGGGAGGAAAAGACAATTGGCTGTCTAGCTATTCAGGAGGTGGGGGAAGATAGTTTCATGTATTCTTTGCAACCACCACTGCTATATTTGTTTTTAACCAAAGAACTTAACTATTTGCTGGAAAAGAAAATCATTGTATTTGTCTATTTATTCAACAGTGTTTTTCTTTGTGATAAAGGGAATCCTGTTAGACTATATGGGAATGAGAAATCTTATAAGAATGCACACTTATTCCTGGCTCTAATACTAAAATTTGGTGTTACTCTTATATAGTACTATCAATCTGTGTGAAAATCTAAGCACTATATATGTGGTCTTCTACCCAAACACCTATGAAACTTCAACATTTCTAAGATACATGACTTCCCCAGCTTATGTTACTATCTTAAACTCCCTTGGACCTCATGGCAATTTTCCTAATATTAGGCATTCTGGTCTGTGGTCTGTGGACTGGTCTGTGGTTAGCGAAATCTACAAAGAATAGTCCTCTCAAAGCAGACCTGCCTTTGCCTCTTCCGTGCTTTGAGTAGCCATATGGTGATGTAGGGCATAGACCAGTATTAGAGGGAGATGGTACTTGATGGAGAGAACTGAGGTCTTAGTTCTCAGAGCCATTTATAAAGAGAACTTTGCAGGATTTGAGGATTATTTCACTAAATTTATAAAACTTTCTTAAGAAGGAGCAGGGACAGCCCCCTCCCCTTAACAACCATTGACAGTCTCTCTGTGTCTATCTATCTCTGTCTCTCTATCTCTCTCAGTCTCTGTCTCCATCTGTCTACCTGTCTCTCTCTGTCTTCATATCTGTCTGTCTTTCTTTCATAGGTAATATTAGAGTAGTATGGAACTGGCAAGGTTTAAAATAGGAAAGCAGTTTCTTTCTGGAAAAATGAACTCTTTCCTCAAAATGACTTTGTAGCCAGGAGAAGTTGGGGTGGTTATGGATGAGCAAGGGGATTTTGTGGATCCCTTGACTGGGTTGAGCTAACTTGAGCACCA